TCGTCGTTTTCCGCCCCTTTTTAATCGATCCACAAGAGAAAGAAACATTGAAACGAATATTTTTTTTCTGTCTTCTTTTTTTCTACCTACTCCTACATAAGACTGTCGTTTCACGTGGAATCTCGTTTAGACGCACTTTTGAAACACTTCGTCCAGTGAAGAAAAGGGGTTGTCGAATGAACGTCTGATTTTTACATATACAAGCAAACATATATCGTGTTGTATCGTTCGAATTGTTGGGACGATCCTGAGTGTATCTGCTGTTTCGAACAGTTCGCTTCGAAGAAGGTGCAAGTTCGCCGACAGGAAAGATTTTTCACTCCGAGCAATTTCTACAATTTTCGGTACACTTTTCGGGAAAGTGTCAAGGGGAGCGTTAATTTTAGGTGTGTGAAAATTTGAAATTTTCAGAGAACGAAGTTTCGACGATACAAACTTAATTTTGCACTCGAAGACAATTTCACGCTCACAGTCTGGTGGTCCACTATGGAATTAATCCACTATAGTTTTTCTAAGGGCACCACTGTCGCTGAGGAGTTACACGAACTGGAGGATCGCGCGTAAAAGAGAAACTATAAGAATTGCGTCGACCGGGTGTCGAAGTTCTACCTCGTCCCCGAAATTCCTCCGATTTCCCGCCGATCGATTCTCCGCACACCGCACAATCCCCTTGCACGAAAACGATCCGCGAAAGTAGGAGGACACTGAAAGCACCTTTCCAGGCAAGTTTCTTCCTCTCGGAGATTCGCATTTCTATGTAGAAAAAATTAACGCTCTTTTGTGCGACAAATTAACGAAAGCGTACGGGAAATGGCACGAAATTGTTCGAAATGAAAATCCCGAATTTCGAGGGAGTTGTAGTTTCTTCGAAACGAACGACGCTGAAGCAGATTGACCTTCAGGATTGATGTTTCTTCCCATTATCAGTATTTTGCGCGGGGACGACGAAGATACATCGCGTGAAATTTCCGCACGGCGAGAGATTCTTCGTGAAAGAGCACACCGTTGAAGTTAGGCGTTGGAAAAGAACGATACAGGGGTTGCGGAGGTAACGAGAACAGGGAAAAGAAGAAAGAAAGGGGTGAATAAAGTAAAGGAGAGAGAACGCTTGGGTGAAGAGATGAAGTATAGAGAAGTACTTGAGTAACGGTGAAACTGGTCGAGCGTCATCTTCTC